CCGCCTGGCTGCAGCCCGATTTCTGGTGGTGTCCTCGGGGACAGCGAGGGTGATGGTTGTCCCGGGAGAGCAGGAGATACCTGCAGGCCCCAAAACCAGCGGGAAGGTCTTGCAGGCAGGGAATGCTCAGCGTAAAAGAAAGGTCAGCGTGGGAGCTGCGAGCATCCGGCAGAGCTTGCCGGTTCCTGAAGGAGCCAGGGGAGCTGGTGGATGCTCCCTAGTTGGTTTAGTGTGGACTTAGCAGGGTTAGGTTAATGATTGGACTGGATGATTTTAAAGGTCTTTTCCAACCTAAATGATTCTATGATTCTGTGGTCTGAGATTAGGGGAACGTGGGAGCAGATGGTTTGCTCCCGTTCATTTCTGATCAGTGTCCATCTCCGGGGGCCGTAGCCAGAAGGAGAAAGCCTGGAGATTTGGGAGGGAGCATGGGAATGCAGGGTGGGGAGAGGAGAGGCATTGCTGGCTTTTGGGAGAAGACCGAGGCTGCTGCTGGAGAGGGGATCTAGGAGGACACGGTGGCTGTGCCCCGCAGGGTGGGCCTTGGGCTCTCGTCCCCGCCTCGCGGCGCGGTAGTTCTGACCCTGCCGTGACGGGCTGTGTCTCCCCCCGGCCCCCGCAGGGCAGCTGCTCTCCTTTGACATCGGGGAGCAGCCGGTGTTCGAGATCCCCCTCAGCAACGTCTCCCAGTGCACGACGGGCAAGAATGAGGTGACGCTGGAGTTCCACCAGAACGACGACGCTGAGGTCTCGCTCATGGAGGTTCGCTTCTACGTGCCCCCGACCCAGGAGGATGGCGTGGACCCTGTGGAGGTGAGCGGGGGGCCCGCAGGTCGGGCAGAGGGGGCAGCTGGGGACCCTCATCCAGCCGTAACTCCCTTCCCTTGCAGGCCTTCGCTCAGAACGTCCTCTCCAAGGCGGACGTGATCCAGGCCACTGGCGATGCCATCTGTATCTTCCGGGAACTGCAGTGCCTGACGCCTCGCGGGCGATACGACATCCGCATCTACCCCACCTTCCTGCACCTCCACGGCAAGACCTTTGACTACAAGATCCCCTATACGACTGTGCTGCGCCTCTTCCTGCTGCCGCACAAGGACCAGCGGCAGATGTTCTTTGTGGTGAGGAGGGGACAAGGGGTCTTCCCTCCCCCAGGGGAGGGTGACAAGCAATGGGTTCATGGGATTTTGGGTCCTCTCCTCCTCTTTTCAGATCAGCCTGGATCCCCCGATAAAGCAAGGCCAGACCCGCTACCATTTCCTTATCCTGCTCTTCTCCAAGGATGAGGACATCTCCCTGACTCTAAACATGAATGAGTGAGTTCTTTGAGGGCCACAAAAATGATCCGAGGGCTGGAGCCCCTCTCCTACAAGGCCAGGCTGGGGGAGTTGGGGTTGTTCAGCCTGGAGGAGAGAAGGCTGTGGGGAGACCTTAGTGCGGCCTTTCAGTGCTTAGAGGGAGCTGAAAGGAAGGATGGGGACAATCTTTTTAGCAAGGCCTGTTGTGACAGGACAAGGAGTAATGGATTTAAACTAAAGAAGAATAGATATGGACTGGATATAAGGAAGAAACTTTTCACAATGAGGGTGGTGAGGCACTGGCACAGGTTGCCCAGAGAGGCGGTGGAGGCCCCATCCCCAGAAACATCCCAGGCCAGGTTGGACGGGGCTGTGAGCACCCTGGTCTGGTTAAAGCTGTCCCTGCTCACTGCAGGGGGTTGGGCTGGGTGAGCTCTAAAGGTCCCTTCCACCCCAAAGCAGTCCATGATTCTCCTGCCAGGCCACTTCCTTGAGCCCCTCCCTGAGTCTGGGGGCTGCGGGGAGCCAGGAGGGAGGTAACAAACCTCCCATGTTCCCATTCTCACCGTTGCCATCTCTTCTGGCTACACAGGGAAGAGGTGGAGAAACGCTTCGAGGGGCGGCTCACCAAGAACATGTCGGGCTCCCTCTACGAGATGGTCAGCCGCGTCATGAAGGCGCTGGTGAACCGCAAGATCACTGTGCCCGGCAACTTCCAGGGGTGAGGCATGCCGCTGCTGGCTGAGGCAGGTGTGGATGGTGGAATGTGGGATCTTCCTGCTGCAGGAAAGGGCGCGGAGATCGGGAGAGATGCAAAGCGTGCCTTGTCCTCCCTAGGACAGGGGAAGCTGTTTGAGATCCCTCCCTGAGGGGTGGCAGGACCGGCTCCTCTCTCTCTCTTGTTCCTGTGGTCAGGGAGAAGGGGCTTTGTGAGATTTGTGCCAAGGGAACAGCTGATGGGCTGTCAGGCTCTTCTGTCTCGCCGTGGGGATGGGCATGGGGAGGGTGTTTGCCCCCTGCGGGTGTTGAGACGGCTG